CTGCACTAGTGATGGGTGTGGTTGTCTACACTAGTGATGGGTGTGGTTGTCTGCACTAGTGATGGGTGGGGTTGTCTGCACTAGTGATGGGTGTGGTTGTCTGCACTAGTGATGGTGTGGTTGTCTGCACTAGTGATGGTGTGGTTGTCTACACTAGTGATGGGTGTGGTTGTCTGCTCTAGTGATGGTGTGGTTGTCTGCACTAGTGATGGTGTGGTTGTCTGCTCTAGTGATGGTGTGGTTGTCTGCACTAGTGATGGGTGTGGTTGTCTGCACTAGTGATGGGTGTGGTTGTCTGCACTAGTGATGGGTGTGGTTGTCTACACTAGTGATGGGTGTGGTTGTCTACACTAGTGATGGGTGTGGTTGTCTGCACTAGTGATGGGTGTGGTTGTCTACACTAGTGATGGTGTGTCTTGTAGTGATGGTGCTACTAGTGATGGGTGTGGTGTGTTGTCTGCACTAGTGATGGGTGTGGTTGTCTACACTAGTGATGGTGTGTGTCTACACTAGTGATTGTCTGCACTAGTGATGGGTGTGGTTGTCTGCACTAGTGATGGTGTGGTTGTCTACACTAGTGATGGTGTGGTTGTCTACACTAGTGATGGTGTGGTTGTCTGCACTAGTGATGGTGTGGTTGTCTACACTAGTGATGGTGTGGTTGTCTACACTAGTGATGGTGTGGTTGTCTGCACTAGTGATGGGTGTGGTTGTCTGCACTAGTGATGGGTGTGGTTGTCTGCACTAGTGATGGTGTGGTTGTCTGCACTAGTGATGGTGTGGTTGTCTGCACTAGTGATGGTGTGGTTGTCTGCTCTAGTGATGGTGTGGTTGTCTGCTCTAGTGATGGTGTGGTTGTCTGCTCTAGTGATGGTGTGGTTGTCTGCACTAGTGATGGGTGTGGTTGTCTGCACTAGTGATGGTGTGGTTGTCTGCACTAGTGATGGTGTGGTTGTCTACACTAGTGATGGGTGTGGTTGTCTGCACTAGTGATGGGTGTGGTGTGGTTGTCTGCTCTAGTGATGGGTGTGGTTGTCTGCACTAGTGATGGTGTGGTTGTCTTCACTAGTGATGGGTGTGGTTGTCTACACTAGTGATGGGTGTGGTTGTCTACACTAGTGATGGGTGTGGTTGTCTACACTAGTGATGGGTGTGGTTGTCTGCACTAGTGATGGTCTACACTAGTGATAGTGTGGTTGTCTGCACTAGTGATGGTGTGGTTGTCTGCTCTAGTGATGGGTGTGGTTGTCTGCTCTAGTGATGGGTGTGGTTGTCTGCACTAGTGATGGGTGTGTGGGTTACACTCTGCTACACTAGTGATGGTGTGTTGTCTACACTAGTGGGTGTGGTTGTCTGCACTAGTGATGGGTGTGGTTGTCTGCACTAGTGATGGTGTGGTTGTCTAGTGATGGGTGTGTCTACACTAGTGATAGTGTGGTTGTCTACACTAGTGATGTGGTTGTCTGCACTAGTGATGGGTGGGTTGTCTGCACTAGTGATGGTGTGTTGTCTACACTAGTGATGGGTGTGGTTGTCTGCTACTAGTGATGGGTGGTTGTCTACACTAGTGATGTGTGGTTGTCTACACTAGTGATGGTGTGTGGTTGTCTACACTAGTGATGGGTGTGGTTGTCTACACTAGTGATGGTGTGGTTGTCTGCACTAGTGATGGTGTGTGATGGTGTGGTTGTCTGCTACACTAGTGATGTGTGGTTGTCTACACTAGTGATGTGATGGTGTGGTTGTCTACACTAGTGATGGTGTGGTTGTCTGCACTAGTGATGGTGTGGTTGTCTGCACTAGTGATGGTGTGGTTGTCTGCACTAGTGATGGTGTGGTTGTCTGCACTAGTGATGGTGTGGTTGTCTACACTAGTGATGGTGTGGTTGTCTACACTAGTGATGGTGTGGTTGTCTACACTAGTGATGGTGTGGTTGTCTGCACTAGTGATGGTGTGGTTGTCTGCACTAGTGATGGGTGTGGTTGTCTGCACTAGTGATGGTGTGGTTGTCTGCACTAGTGATGGGTGTGGTTGTCTACACTAGTGATGGGTGTGGTTGTCTGCACTAGTGATGGGTGTGGTTGTCTACACTAGTGATGGGTGTGGTTGTCTACACTAGTGATGGTGTGGTTGTCTACACTAGTGATGGTGTGGTTGTCTGCTCTAGTGATGGGTGGGGTTGTCTACACTAGTGATGGGTGTGGTTGTCTACACTAGTGATGGGTGTGGTTGTCTACACTAGTGATGGTGTGGTTGTCTACACTAAGGATGGGTGTGGTTGTCTGCACTAGTGATGCGTGTGATGGGTGTGGTTGTCTACACTAGTGATGGTGTGGTTGTCTACACTAGTGATGGTGTGGTTGTCTGCTCTAGTGATGGGTGTGGTTGTCTGCTCTAGTGATGGTGTGTGGTTGTCTGCACTAGTGATGGTGTGGTTGTCTGCACTAGTGATGGGTGTGGTTGTCTACACTAGTGATGGTGTGGTTGTCTACACTAGTGATGGTGTGGTTGTCTACACTAGTGATGGTGTGGTTGTCTGCTCTAGTGATGGGTGTGGTTGTCTACAGTGATGTGATGGATGTGGTTGTCTACACTAGTGATGGGTGTGGTTGTCTGCACTAGTGATGGTGTGTGTTGTCTACACTAGTGATGGGTGTGGTTGTCTACACTAGTGATGGTGTGGTTGTCTACACTAGTGATGGTGTGGTTGTCTGCACTAGTGATGCGTGTGATGGGTGTGGTTGTCTACACTAGTGATGGGTGTGGTTGTCTGCTCTAGTGATGGGTGTGGTTGTCTGCACTAGTGATGGTGTGGTTGTCTGCACTAGTGATGGGTGTGGTTGTCTACGCTAGTGATGGGTGTGGTTGTCTGCACTAGTGATGGGTGTGGTTGTCTACACTAGTGATGGTGTGGTTGTCTGCACTAGTGATGGTGTGGTTGTCTACACTAGTGATGGGTGTGGTTGTCTACACTAGTGATGGGTGGGGTTGTCTACACTAGTGATGGGTGCGGTTGTCTGCACTAGTGATGGGTGTGGTTGTCTACACTAGTGATGGGTGTGGGACTAACTCCTAGGTACCTATTTACTGCTAGGTAACAGGGGCATTCAGGGTGAAAGAAACTTTGCCCATTTGTTTCTGCCTGTTGCGGAAATCGAACCCGCGCCACAGAATTACGAGTCCTGCGCGCTATCCACCAGGCTACCAGGCCCCTCAGTGGGTGGTCTGTTTTATAAGCAAGACTAGTGGGTGACTGTTAGACGAGTTCTACAAGCCAGACGAGTGGGTTACTGTTAGACGTGTCCTACAAGCAAGACAAGTGGGTGACTGTTGGGTGTGTTCTACAGGCAATACTATTGGGTGACTGTTAGGTGTGTTCTACAAGGTAGACGAGTGGGTGACTGTTGGGTGTGTTTCTACAAGGTTGACGAGTGGGTGACTGTTGGGTGTGTTCTACAAGGTAGACGAGTGGGTGACTGTTGGGTGTGTTCTACAGGCAATACTATTGGGTGACTGTTAGGTGTGTTCTACAAGCAGGACTAGTGGGTGACTGTTAGGTGTGTTCTACAAGCAAGACTAGTGGGTGACTGCTAGACGTGTTCTACAAGCAAGACGAGTGGGTGACTGCTAGACGTGTTCTACAAGCAAGACTAGTGGGTGACTGTTAGGTGTGTTCTACAAGCAAGACGAGTGGGTGACTGTTAGACGTGTTCTACAAGCAAGACTAGTGGGTGACTGTTAGACGTGTTCTACAAGCAAGACGAGTGGGTGACTGTTAGACGTGTTCTATAAGCAAGACTAGTGGGTGACTGTTAGGTGTGTTCTACAAGCAAGACGAGTGGGTGACTGTTAGACGTGTTCTATAAGCAAGACTAGTGGGTGACTGTTAGGTGTGTTCTACAAGCAAGACGAGTGGGTGACTGTTAGACGTGTTCTACAAGCAAGACTAGTGGGTGACTGTTAGGTGTGTTCTACAAGCAAGACGAGTGGGTGACTGTTAGGTGTGTTCTACAAGCAAGACGAGTGGGTGACTGTTAGACGTGTTCTACAAGCAAGACGAGTGGGTGACTGTTAGACGTGTTCTATAAGCAAGACTAGTGGGTGACTGTTAGGTGTGTTTCTACAAGCAAGACGAGTGGGTGACTGTTAGGTGTGTTCTACAAGCAAGACTAGTGGGTGACTGTTAGGTGTGTTCTACAAGCAAGACTAGTGGGTGACTGTTAGGTGTGTTCTACAAGCAAGACGAGTGGGTGACTGTTAGGTGTGTTCTACAAGCAAGACTAGTGGGTGACTGTTAGGTGTGTTCTACAAGCAAGACTAGTGGGTGACTGTTAGGTGTGTTCTACAAGCAAGACTAGTGGGTGACTTTTAGACGTGTTCTACAAGCAAGACGAGTGGGTGACTGTTAGACGTGTTCTACAAGCAAGACTAGTGGGTGACTGTTAGGTGTGTTCTACAAGCAAGACGAGTGGGTGACTGTTAGGTGTGTTCTACAAGCAAGACTAGTGGGTGACTGTTAGGTGTGTTCTACAAGCAAGACGAGTGGGTGACTGTTAGGTGTGTTCTACAAGCAAGACGAGTGGGTGACTGTTAGGTGTGTTCTACAAGCAAGACTAGTGGGTGACTGTTAGGTGTGTTCTACAAGCAAGACGAGTGGGTGACTGCTAGACGTGTTCTACAAGCAAGACGAGTGGGTGACTGTTAGGTGTGTTCTACAAGCAAGACGAGTGGGTGACTGTTAGGTGTGTTCTACAAGCAAGACTAGTGGGTGACTGTTAGGTGTGTTCTACAAGCAAGACTAGTGGGTGACTTTTAGACGTGTTCTACAAGCAAGACGAGTGGGTGACTGTTAGACGTGTTCTATAAGCAAGACTAGTGGGTGACTTTTAGACGTGTTCTACAAGCAAGACTAGTGGGTGACTGTTAGGTGTGTTCTACAAGCAAGACTAGTGGGTGACTTTTAGACGTGTCCTACAAGCAAGACTAGTGGGTGACTGACTGGAGTATTGGTGAAAGCTTCACTCGAGGTGATGGCTGAGGTTCGCCCGAGAATCTTCTGCTTGTAGTATGGAGTCCGTAGTTCGATTTGCCTGCAAAAATATTTGGAAATAAAATTTGAACATTTTTCAATAATATTTAATGTTAAACTGTTTATGTAAATAATTATTTAAATAACAATAAAAACCTATGAAATCAAAAAACACATTTGTGATTTAAAAATTCATTTGTGAAAACATTTTACTAATTAACCAAACCAGTGTGTGGCTCTCTTGGCTTGATCTCCCCCCCCCCCCAGTAGCATTCACATCCCCCATAAACATGGGTAAATCTTGCTCAAAGACTTGATAACTCTGCAGATAAACACAAGTGGATAGTAGACTTTACTGAACCTGACGTTATCCCAGGTAAGTATAAGTAATTGTCAAAGAAAGTCCCATGGCGGGAGGAAGACGATGTACCACCATTCTCCGAGGTAAGAACAGAGAAACCATTCAAAGTAACATATTCGGAATTTCGGGTTGGAATCCGAAGCAGGACAGAAATGCTTGGGCGCATATCGCATCACCTAATGCACCTCTTCACCAAGCAGTAAATAGGTATCCAGAAGTTGCCATCCGGCGCCATCTGTTGGATGTAAGGAACATTGGAAAGTTACTCACCAATTGCTTTGAAATTTTGACACAACGTTGCATTCACATAGGCGTCTTTTTATATAACTACTATATAGATTTCACCCCTGTGATGGATAAAAACATGCGTTTTTGAAAAACATCGCCATCTGTTGCACGTAATAGCAACATGCACACTATGCTAAATATGTCACTAATTCCATTTCAATGTTTCCGATTGCATTGATAAATTTTATTTTCATAGATTCCAATTTCTTTTCATTGTATTATTTTGTGTGACATTGTGTTAGAATTGAGCTGTGTTGTTTACCATACCGTTCATTTCGTAAGTATAAGTATAGATGCCACACCTGTGACAGGTAAAACTATCCTTTTCTTGAAAAACAGCGCCATCTGTTGCATGTAAGAGCAACACACATATGCTATACTAAATATGCTACAATTCCATTACAATGTTTCTGATTGCATTGATAAATTGAATTTTCCTAGATTTTGATTTACTTTCATTTTGATTGATTTATTGTGTGTGAATTGTGTTGGAATTGAGCTGTGTTGCTTATCAGACCGTTCATTTCGTGAGAATAGTTTTTTTTATATTTTTTTTTCATATTTTGATTTCATTTTTTAACTGTTTTTTTTTATATTTCAGTGATGGGAACATCAGATCACTTGATGTTCCCAATTTTCTGATGTGAACATCAGACCATTTGGGAAGGCATCGGACGAGGGAGTGGGGAATGGTGGGGATGATGAGGGAACGGAAGTGAGTGATGGTGGGGAGGACGAGGGGCACAAGGGAGAGGGTAATGATGGGGAAGGACGAGGGGACGGGGGAGTTTGGGATGGTGGGGACGAGGTGATAGGGGAATAGAAAATGGTGGGGAGGACAAAGGGACAGAGGAGTGGGGCTTGCTGGGAAGGGAGAGGGGACGGTGGAGTGGGGAATAGTTTGGAGGCCGAGGAGACGTGTGAGGGGGGAATGGTGGGGAGGACTGGAGGACAGGGAAGGTTGCTGTGGCTCAGCAACGCACATGCGTTGATGAGCCACAGCAACACGTGGCCGGGTACTGCTAGTATATAGATAAAAATGGAAATGTTTGTTTGTTCAAAATCACCGAAAGATTTACCGATTGATTTAAATTTTTCACACAACATTCCATTCCCATCAGAGCGGGTTTTTATATACATTTTATATAGATGTCATCTGTGACGGGAAAAAAACAGGCTTTTTTGAAAAATTGTGTTTTTCATGAGATAAATCTTTGAAACCTCTTTACCGATTGCTTTGAAATTTTGACACAACGTTGCATGCTTCCGATTGCATTGACAAATTACATTTTCATAGAATTCGATTTATTTTCATTTTGATATAATTATTTTGTGTGACATTACGTTGAAATTGAGCTGTGCTGTTTACCATACCATTAATTTCGTAAATATAAGTGTAGATGCCTCGCCTGTGATAGGTAAAACATGCTGTTTTTGAAAAGCAGCGTCATCTGTTGCACGTAGGAGCAACACATGCTATACTAAACATGAAACGATTATATTTCAATGTTTCTGATTTTATTGATAATTTGAATTTTCATAGATTTCGAATTATTTTCATTTTGATATAATTATTTTGTGTGACTTTGCATTGGAATTGAGCTGTGTTTAGTGAGTATAGTTTTTGTTTTTTCCATTTTTTCATTAATTTTTTTTAACTGTTTTTCTGATATTTCAGTGATGGGAACATCAAATCATTTGATGTTCCATATTTTCTGATGGGAACGTTAGATCTTTAGGAAATGCATCGGACTAGGGAGTAGGGAATGGAAGGAAGGATGAGGGGATGGGAGTGGGGGATGGTGGGGAGGACCAGGGGACAGGGAAGGGGGTAATGATGGGGGAAACAATGGGGGGGAATGGGAATTGGTTATGGTGGGGACGACGGGACAGGGGAATGGAGAATGGAGGGGACGACAAGGGGATAGGGGAGTGGAGGATGGTGGGGAAGACGAGGGGATGGGGGAGGGAGAATGGTAAGGAGGACGAGGGGATGGGGGAGGGAGAATGGTAAGGAGGACGAGGGGATGGGGAGGGTGAATGGTAAGGAGGACGAGGAAATGCTGGAGTGGGGGGGATGGTGGGAAGGACAATAAAATGGGGAAGGGGGTAATGGTGGGGAGGACTGGGTGACAGGGGAAGGTTGCTGGGCTTCAGCAAAGCGTGGCCGGGTAGTAGTAGTAGGCATCCATCAGTCTCAGGAGACTATGGAGTTGCGCTCTGGTTGTCGGTCTGGAGTGGCCTCACCAGGGCGCAAAGCCAGGGCAGGTTGATTCGGGGGAGAAGCTGTTACCCAGGCAGCAGGTCCCCCCTCTCCACGGCGCTGAAACCCAGCAACTTTCCCCTGTCAGCCGGGTACAGCTAGGTATATATATATGTGTATATATATATATAAATATATATATATATATATATATATATATATATATATATATATATATATATATATATATATATATGCAGAATAACCACATATGAAAAATAGAAAATGCTTAACGCGTTTTCGGCTAATTCGCCTTCATCAGAGCAAAGTAGAATCATTTCTACTTTGTCGGGCTTCTACTTTGGATTCTACTTTGCTCTGATGAAGGCGAATTAGCCGAAAACGCGTTAAGCATTTTCTATTTTTCATATGTGGTTATTCTGCATACTTGGATCAGTGTTTTTGTGATCATTGTTGCATATATATATATATATATATATATATATATATATATATATATATATATATATATATATATATATAGATAGATATATATATATATATATATATATATATATATATATATATATATATATATATATATATATGTCGTACCTAGTAGCCAGAACGCACTTCTCAGCCTACTATGCAAGGCCCGATTTGCATAATAAGCCAAGTTTTTCCTGAATTAATATATTTTCTCTATTTTTATTCTTATGAAATGATAAAGCTACCCATTTCATTATGTATGAGGTAAATTTTTTTTTATTGGAGTTAAAATTAACGTAGATATATGACCGAACCTAACCAACCCTACCTAACCTAACCTAACCTATCTTTATAGGTTAGGTTAGGTTAGGTAGCCGAAAAAGTCAGGTTAGGTTAGGTTAGGTAGGTTAGGTAGTCGAAAAACAATTAATTCATGAAAACTTGGCTTATTAGGCAAATAGGGCCTTGCATAGTAGGCTGAGAAGTGCGTTCTGGCTACAAGGTACGACATATATATATATATATATATATATATATATATATATATATATATATATATATATATATATATATATATATATATATATATATATATATGCGAACAAGCCTGAATGGTCCCCAGGACATATGCAACTGAAAACTCACACCCCAGAAGTGACTCGAACCCATACTCCCAGAAGCAACGCAACTGGTATGTACAAGACGCCTTAATCCACTTGACCATCACGACCGGACATAATGAGGTGATAGCCGAGGCTATATGAACCACCCCACCAACGGCACTCGGATAGTTATCTTGGGCATAGCATTTTACCAAATCACCTCATTCTTTGGGGCACACGTGAGGAACTCAAATGCAAACAAGCCTGAATGGTCCCCAGGACATATGCAACTGAAAACTCACACCCCAGAAGTGACTCGAACCCATACTCCCAGAAGCAACGCAACTGGTATGTACAAGACGCCTTAATCCACTTGACCATCACGACCGGACATAATGAGGTGATAGCCGAGGCTATTTGAACCACCCCACCGCCGGCACTCGGATAGTTATCTTGGGCATAGCATTTTACCAAATCACCTCATTCTTTGGGGCAACACGTGAGGAACACAAATGCGAACAAGCCTGAATGGTCCCCAGGACATATGCAACTGAAAACTCACACCCCAGAAGTGACTCGAACCCATACTCCCAGAAGCATTATGTCCGGTCGTGATGGTCAAGTGGATTAAGGCGTCTTGTACATACCAGTTGCGTTGCTTCTGGGAGTATGGGTTCGAGTCACTTCTGGGGTGTGAGTTTTCAGTTGCATATGTCCTGGGGACCATTCAGGCTTGTTCGCATTTGTGTTCCTCACGTGTGCCCCAAAGAATGAGGTGATTTGGTAAAATGCTATGCCCAAGATAACTATCCGAGTGCCGGCGGTGGGGTGGTTCATATAGCCTCGGCTATCACCTCATTATGTCCGGTCGTGATGGTCAAGTGGATTAAGGCGTCTTGTACATACCAGTTGCGTTGCTTCTGGGAGTATGGGTTCGAGTCACTTCTGGGGTGTGAGTTTTCAGTTGCATATGTCCTGGGGACCATTCAGGCTTGTTCGCATTTGTGTTCCTCACGTGTGCCCCAAAGAATGAGGTGATTTGGTAAAATGCTATGCCCAAGATAACTATCCGAGTGCCGGCGGTGGGGTGGTTCATATAGCCACGGCTATCACCTCATTATGTCCGGTCGTGATGGTCAAGTGGATTAAGGCGTCTTGTACATACCAGTTGCGTTGCTTCTGGGAGTATGGGTTCGAGTCACTTCTGGGGTGTGAGTTTTCAGTTGCATATGTCCTGGGGACCATTCAGGCTTGTTCGCATTTGTGTTCCTCACGTGTGCCCCAAAGAATGAGGTGATTTGGTAAAATGCTATGCCCAAGATAACTATCCGAGTGCCGGCGGTGGGGTGGTTCATATAGCCTCGGCTATCACCTCATTATGTCCGGTCGTGATGGTCAAGTGGATTAAGGCGTCTTGTACATACCAGTTGCGTTGCTTCTGGGAGTATGGGTTCGAGTCACTTCTGGGGTGTGAGTTTTCAGTTGCATATGTCCTGGGGACCATTCAGGCTTGTTCGCATTTGTGTTCCTCACGTGTGCCCCAAAGAATGAGGTGATTTGGTAAAATGCTATGCCCAAGATAACTATCCGAGTGCCGGCGGTGGGGTGGTTCATATAGCCTCGGCTATCACCTCATTATGTCCGGTCGTGATGGTCAAGTGGATTAAGGCGTCTTGTACATACCAGTTGCGTTGCTTCTGGGAGTATGGGTTCGAGTCACTTCTGGGGTGTGAGTTTTCAGTTGCATATATCCTGGGGACCATTCAGGCTTGTTCGCATTTGTGTTCCTCACGTGTGCCCCAAAGAATGAGGTGATTTGGTAAAATGCTATGCCCAAGATAACTATCCGAGTGCCGGCGGTGGGGTGGTTCATATAGCCTCGGCTATCACCTCATTATGTCCGGTCGTGATGGTCAAGTGGATTAAGGCGTCTTGTACATACCAGTTGCGTTGCTTCTGGGAGTATGGGTTCGAGTCACTTCTGGGGTGTGAGTTTTCAGTTATATATATATATATATATATATATATATATATATATATATATATATATATATATATATATATATATATATATATATATATATATATATATATATATATATGTCGTACCTAATAGCCAGAATGCACTTCTCAGCCAACTATGCATGGCCCAATTTGCCTAATAAGCCAAGATTTCATGAATTAATGTTTTTTCGACTATCTAACCTACCTAACCTAACCTAACCTAACTTTTTCTGCTACCTAACCTAACCTAACCGATAGAGATAGGTTAGGTTAGGTTAGGTAGGGTTGGTTAGGTTCGGTCATATATCTACGTTAATTTTAACTCCAATAAAAAAAAATTGACCTCATACATATTGAAATGGGTAGATTTATCATTTCATAAGAAAAAATTTTTAAAAAATATATTAATTCAGGAAAACTTGGCTTATTAGGCAAGTCAGGCCTTGCATAATAGGCAGAGAAGTGCGTTCTGGCTATTAGGTACGACATATATATATATATATATATATATATATATATATATATATATATATATATATATATATATATATATATATATATATATATATATATATATTTGTCAGTCCGTCCATCCAAGGTTTCCCATTGTCAAGAAAACGGTCAATTTAAAAAGACCTTAATCTACCAGAGGACCCAAAACCTATGTGTCCTCCTGGATGTTGTGAAGGATAAGGATCATAATAGTAGCCACCTGGATGTTGTGAAGGATAAGGATCATAATAGTAGCCACCTGGATGTTGTGAAGGATAAGGATCAAAGTGGTAGCCACCTGGATGTTGTGAAGGATAAGGACCATAATAATAGCCACCTGGATGTTGTGAAGGATAAGGATCATAATAATAGCCACCTGGATGTTGTGAAGGATAAGGATCAAAGTGGTAGCCACCTGGATGCTGGAAGAGCCTGGAGCAGCTGGTTCACCACCTGGGTTCTCTTGTACCAGTCCTCGGGGGAGACGTTACCGTCGTTGCCGTAGTTAGCAGTGTAGTACCACTCTCCCCACACCCCGATGAAGCCGGCCTGCAGCACTGCTATCACCCCAGCATACGTCTGCAACGATACGTGCAACACTGTTATCATCCCCAGCATACGTCTGCAACGATACGTGCAACACTGTTATCATCCCCAGCATACGTCTGCAACGATACGTGCAACACTGTTATCATCCCCAGCATACGTCTGCAACAACACATGCAACACTCACTGTTATCAACTCCAGCATACATGATTACTTTGTGTTCACATCGTATGTTCGAGTTAGTTCATTATGCAGTCCGAGGGGCTGGTGTCTAGCTGTCATTGAGAGTGTCACAGGAAGGATTTCGAGTAACGTCATTGATATTTCTTTCGTTCTTGTTGTAGTAGTTAGTACTTTACTAAATAAACTAAGTTGTTATGTTGAACATTGTGTTTTCGTTACACCCAACACATTTATATAGTTCTGTAAGAGATTCTTCACACTCGACTATTAAATTGAGACTGCTTCTTAAGTTCTGGACTGAATATATCGCACAACACAACAATAAATTATTGTTGTGAGAGCCCAAGACCTACTAGTTTGATTCGCTTTGGCGAATGGCGAAGGTCAACGACCTAGTGGAGGTGATTTCAACTTTTTGGGGTCTCGGCGTTTGCTCGCGGTCAATTGTTCATATCTGATCCCAGAGTGAGGAATGAGCTGCTTACTACACTGTTGTGTTAGCTAAGCAAGTCCTCCTCAGGCGACCAATATATGAATATCGCGACAGGAATAAGGTTAAAGGAGTTCCTGAAATTCCTTTTAAGAAATTTCCGAGTTCAATTACCCATTCTTCAATCTCAAAACTCTCACATCATGGCACCCAACGTGGGGCCGTGGACATTTCGTTCATACTCAGAAATTTCAGACTCGTCAAGTCGAGAAATCTAGAGAGAAAGGAGTGCAGAACATTGCAGAACAATATTGCTGTGAGTGTGGTTTGTTATCGGTTAGCACGATTAGGTACATACACACACCACACACACAGAATGGATGAGCATTATAGGTATGAGTACATGTCTCTGTACGTGGCTAGGTATGTCGTGCTGCCAGAGGATATAGACATTCTCTCGGATAAGGAATGTCGGCAGTATGTCGAGAACCATAGGGCCAATATACGGCTTATAGGTCTAGAAGAAGCAAACAGAAGTGATCTAGGGGAACAAAGGAGTTCCCCTAGCCGACCGTGGTGGTTCCCCTAGTACCGACCTTGTCGGTAAACAAGGGGGTGTCGGATTGAGTCCACCCCAGGAAAAGGAAGGGGAGTCGCGACCCCAGCCTAGGCTAAGGACAGAATCCTTGGGCCACAGAAATGTTTCGTTAGAAGTCAATCAGATACCAGAACAACCTCTCAGGAGGGAGACTGAACAACCTCAGGAGGAATTTATTCTAGAGAAACTAGGAGCTCAAGTTGATGCTTTGGAACTCCAAGGAGAGAGTTTGGCCAGACTCGTGGCCAACATGTGGAATGCCCACCACGACAGGTTGACTAGATTGGAAATTGCAAGAGTGCAATTGTAGGCAAGGACGGGGAGTCAAACCCCTCCTGCCGCCCCAAGCAAAGAGGTACAGGCGCTGCCAGTAGAGATACCTCCTTTATTGCCAAGAGAGGAGAGGATCGATCCTAGGGATGCATACCTAGATCGATGTGTGACAAGGGTTGAACGGTTTACTCAAGCTCCAGGTAAGGGAGCGAAACCTAAAGAAAGTAAGTCTAAGGGAAATCAACAGAAACCCAAGGCTAAGGGACCCAGGTGCTTCACATGCAACATGGCAGGTCACCGAGCAGCACTAGGCCTAAGACTAAGAAGGTGACCAAGGGGCAAGTTACAGGCATGAGTACCGTGGAAAGTGATGCCCTAAGACACACACTCGAGATAACTAACGGAAGAGTTAATGGGCAATGGACGAGTGTCTTTCGAGACCAGGGTGCTACAGTAAACATGGTCAGGAACACTTTGGTTGAGCCTGAGAGTAGAACAGGTCGAACTCTCCGTGTCCAGTACCCAGATGGCACTGGTAAGGACATGGAAGAAGTGTCCGTGTTGGTAGACACCCCATATATCAAAGGTAAGATCAAAGCTGCGCCAAGTAGAAAGGCAGTGTATGGACTTTTGATAGGTAATACTCCTGGTATCGAGGACCAGGTGGGTCTGTCCTGTGGAAATGAACCAGAGGAAACAGGAACAGGTAAAAGGAAGGTTAAACCCGTTGGCGTTGACACCAGGCGTCAGCCGGCCGGTCGAGCAGAAATCGCCGCCGCCCAGACAGAAGAAGTGCAGCAGGTGAAAGGAAACCGAAGCCACCCTTCTCGCCCTATTGCACAGAAAACGAGAACTGACTTAGAGGGACTCAGATGGGTCTGACCAGCTGACGGCGATGTCACACGGCCGCCAGCTAAGGAAGTCTAGGCAGCCTCTTATCAGGCGAAAGATCAGGTGCATGAGGTAAAAGGAAAACAGAAAAATTTTCCTTCTTTCATTTCACAGAAAACGGGAGTGAGCCCAGTGAGACGGGAACGGTCCAGATCAGCTGATCCCGCCACGACCAGTCAGCCAGCCAGACCCGCGAGGGTTAACACCACTCAGGAGAGTAAACGTCTGCTTGATGTTTCCAGGTAGCTGTGGTTCCCACAGGTGAAGTGGATATTCTGCACCAATCTTTCAGGCTGTTGGAAGATCGTTCAGACAAACGAACGATCGCTGAGAGATTGAAGAACGAGCGGTGGCAGCCGGTACATTTGCTAAGTGCACGAGCCTAAGTTTGATACTCAGTACCCGGAACATCTTGTGTTTGGGCTCGTGTGAGAGCCCCAGTCATCAGCATTCCAGATATGCCACCCAGGCCGAGGTAGCACATCTGTGGACAAAGTTAGAGAGAAGAGCATCTTTTCATTTGTGTAGAGTGAGGTGACTGAAAATTTGCGCGGGAAGTACGTGGAGCGGGTAGCCACCCCACCGCCGCGTCAGCCTCCAGTGCTCCCATGGCAACAGCGGCCATCTTGGAGTCGCCATAGGACCATGCCACATCATCTCTGATTGTTTGAGAGAGGTAGGCCGTTGTGTGCCTTTGTCTGATTGGTTCTTTCAAGGAGGACGCGGGAATCGTCGGCGTTCCTCCCTCAAGACGCTATTCTGATTTCAGCCACTACTTCGGCCTGACGCTTGTGTGGTCAATCCGGCAAAAATTGAGAAGTAAGACATCGTTGTGGCTTGACTACTCTACTGCTTCACCTCCTGTTTCATCGACCGAAGCAGAATCCGGCCGACTACGTCGTTCTAAGGGGAAAAAGACATTGTGTACAATGTCTTCCTTGACTCTCTACAGACCTGGGTAGAGATCTGGGATCGTGGGTAATTCTGATTATAGATGTTCTGATTCCTACTAGTGCTCTCTAGCAGTCGACGAAAACGGGAAAATTCGTGTCAGTGTTTCAAGGCAGATTTCACACCCCAGAAGTGACTTGAACCCATACTGTCAGGAGCAACGCAACTGGTATGTACAGGACACCTTAATCCACTTGACCATCATGACCTGAGTTGCTCCTGGCAATATGGGTTCGAGTCACTTCTGGGGTGTGAGTTTTCAGTTGCATATAGTCCTGGGGACCATTCAGGCTTGTTCGCATTTGTGCTCCTCACGTGTGCCCCAAAGAATGAGGTGATTTGATAAAATGCTATGCCCAAGATTACTATCCGAGTGCCGGCGGGGAAGTGGTTCAAATAGCTTAGGCTATCACTTCCTTATGTCCGGCCGTGATGGTCAAGCGGATTAAGGCGTCCCTTTACATACCAGTTGCGTTGCTCCTGGCAGTACGGGTTCCAGTCACTTCTGGGGTGTGAGTTTTCAGTTATATATATATATATATATATATATATATATATATATATATATATATATATATATATATATATATATATATATATATATATTTATATATGTCGTACCTAGTAGCCAGAACGCACTTCTCAGCCTACTATGCAAGGCCCGATTTGCCTAATAAGCCAAGTTTTCATGAATTAATTGTTTTTCGGCTACCTAACCTAACCTAACCTATAAAGATAGGTTAGGTTAGGTTAGGTAGGGTTGGTTAGGTTCGGTCATATATCTACGTTAATTTTAACTCCAATAAAAAAAAATTGACCTCATACGTAATGAAATGGGTAGCTTTATCATTTCATAAGAAAAAAATTAGAGAAAATATATTAATTCAGGAAAACTTGGCTTATTAGGCAAATCAGGCCTTGCATAGTAGGCCGAGTACGACGTTCTGGCTACTAGGTACAACATATATATAAATAATGTGTCTGACGTGTTAACATAATTGTGGTGAGTGACGAGGCTGTCTTGGAAGTGACAGCCATCCATTTAGCCGAGTAACGTAAATTTCTCGAGAGTGTTTATCGATCAGTGGGGTCGATCATTCACCCAGTTAATTAAGGAGTTGTGTTCTTTTTAGTGTTCCATTAACATAAGTATACATGTATTCGTAGTGTCACGAAGCCCAGTGTTAGTGTGTGTTTTTTACTGTAGTTATTGCAACGTGTGCACCTATGTTCTAAGGGGTAATTTAGAGCACAGTTGGTCATTTGCAACAGTAAGTAAGTGTTGGGCAGTGTACTAATATAATTTGATTTAGTGCACCTTGCCGTGTGTGTTATTGCAAAGGGGTTGTCATTGATGGTGATTGTTGCTAGTGTTGATCAATCACCGGGGGTGTTTGCAGTTCAGTAAAGTCATTGTGGGGCCGTGTTCTTGAGGGTTCATGTCCTGAGTGTTATTTACTAGGTTTCTGCAGTATTGTCATTGCAACTGGATTGTAATATAAATCACTGTGATTTGTTGGTGTGATTTATCTTTGTCGTGGGTGAACTTGGCTGACTCGAGTACTTGGGTTTATTTGGTAGACATCGAAGTCCAGTATTTAGTGAGGTGATTGCGAGGCAATTATTATAACGTAACCAAGGGAACACGCATTGCTTATAGAGAATTTGTTCTTTTACAATTTGACTAACGTAGAGTGCGTTTGAGT